TAGACGATTCTTCACATCGGTTCTACCCTGATCAATCGAAGATTTCTTCAGCAACCACTTCTTTACATCATTGGGAAAAGAAGGAGGAACCTTTTGGGTAATCACTTCCCATAAAGGTCTAGCGCCCCAGTAAGCATCAAATCTGTCTACTTCTTGAGAAATAGGGTACTCAAAGGGAGGATGAAGATCTCCGAAAGGAATATTCTAAAGCAAGACGTATTGTCTTTTTACCCTGCAGGGATAATAATAAGTTACACGAGACAAGCTTGGAAGACGGCAGAAAGGTTGCTTGTTAACACCAACCATCCTTTCTATTTTCCACCCTAGGACGACCCACTTGATAGTGAAATCACGTGATTCAAAGACTTTTCTCCACCCATGGCGCCTAATTTTAGGGATGCGCTTCTTCCTTCTCACGAAGCAGTTGGGAGTATACTTTTCAATGTCGTCCGGAGGGCTAATTAATCCTATCCTCTCCATTAGCCACATCTGTAAAAAAAAATTGCAATGCAAATAAATAATTATTACAATACAAAAATATATTTTTTGATTTCTGTAATTAAAAATATTATTTTTCTACCTGTAATAAAATTGGAGAGCCGCGAAAAGGCGCTTTTGGGTCCCTTTTCAATTCATCTAGACTAATCATATTCTCTCCAACTATTAATGGCATTGGATTTCTCCCTGATTCAATTTGTTCTAGTACAGTGGTTATAATTGATTGACCCTCATTATTTTTACCACTACTAAAAAAAATTGGTTAAGCATGCAAAACAGGAACGCCCTTCTTCTATATATATGAAAAGATTCAGAAAGAGGTTTATCAAAATAATAGCGTGCAAATTCTTTCAAATTAACTATATTGCCATCCACTATTTTTGATAAATCCCTTTCTTTTAAATTAGTGCAAATTCTATATCTATTCTAGGGATTGCTATAAGGTCTATTGCAGGGAAGCCTAAGATAGCACCAAATTCCTCCGGCAAAGGGCTAATCTCATCATACCCTATTCTGAAGCAATGAGTATCAACACTCCAAAATTCTAAAGCGGTATGTATGAAGTCTAGGTCAAGATCTACCCCTTTGATGCCATAAATTCCCCCCAGGTGAAATAAATCTAATTCTTTTCTCTCCCTCGCATTAAGAGATCGACACCATTCATGAGTATATTGAGTGAAGGTCTTGGTGACTAAAGACATGATTATTGTTTTTCTAAAGAAGAGAATTATTCATTCGCTGGAATTATGAGAAGAATCGGCTGGGCAGGGGATTTTTATACACAAATTGCGAGGAATTTCAATCAGACTGAAATACGGTATCAGCGTCAAGCGTCAATTGGCGTCACAATCCCGTGATTGGCGCCAACCGCCAACGCTTGGCGCCACACGCTAAGTGTAGCGCCAGCTGGCGCGATCAGCCGCGCGTGCTCAGCTTGCGTTTTTAATATTAGACTCGAGTTGGTTAATGATTTTATGGCTCCGTTTAATTTTCCTAAACATATTTTTTATCCTTTTCTTAATTAATTAAATATAGCTATTATTTTTAATTGATATTATTCTTGTTGGACTTTATTTTAAATTCCAAACACCCGACATTCTATTCATTTTTTTTCCTTTTTTTTTTCTTTTTTGGGGGAGAGAGTCGGATACCCTCCATCAATAATAAAAATGACGGAATTTTTGCGCAAAATTGTCGTCACACTTTTCTTGCACACACTAACATACACATAATAATAACAATCAAATAAATTCATAATGGCATAAATATACAAAATGTATCTATAAATAACGAGTCTAAGGCAAAGTTCTATAAAAAAGTCAAAATAAAATATAAACAGGAACAAACTACAGCGTCGGAGGACGTAGGCCCATCATGTCATAAAATTGCGTCATACGAGGAGTCACCTCTCCACCAGCTCCAGCTCCAGTCTCCGTAGGAGGAGGAAGACTCAATATAGGACCACTCCAGCCAGGATCAACCCGAGGCTGAGGCCGCGGAGGCTGCTGTGATGACAAGCCAACCTCGTACATCCCACCACCTCTAAAAGCCGAGGTAGCCTCTCCTACCGGCGCAGCATGAGCACCCTCAGAAGAAGATCCCGAGCCCTCTGCAACGTCAGCTCGAGCAGCCTCAGAGCGACCACCTCTACCCCTTGACGAAGTGCGACGACGTCTCGAGCTAGACCTCGCTGGGTCCTTCCGCCCCTCAGATATCGCGCGGGTGTGAGAAGCGGTAGGATGACCCTGCAAAAAGAGTTAAATCAGAAACAAAGTAAAATTGAAGCAGCAATGCAAAAATAATGAGTAAAGAAAGGCTACCTCTCGGATGACGTCATCCCGACGGCAAGTGGCCGCATTCCTCATCCGGACGAGCTGACTCCGGAAGGCATCTATGCATCGTGCCATCGCCGAAACCACCTCGCGTGAAAACTGTCAGAAAAATGAGGGTAAAAATGCATGATATATGAACACAAAAATTCTGAAAAAAAACTAGGCTTACTCTAGTCTCGTGGCGAGGAATCGACCGCTCTACGAAGCGCTCGCCCTCGGGAGCCGGAGAAATCATCTCCTCGATCGGCCCGTACATCCCCTGGTAGTGGATGGACATACGGGGTGGCACGAACTCAGCAGCACCGTCCTGATAAAACAGAAAAAATCAGTAAAGCATTACTTGGGGGCTACTTAGTGGAAAGTAAAGCTAAGAAAATCTTACCCTCACATCCTCAGCCGGTACGGGGGCTGGAGCTAACAAAGGTAGTAGCTCCTCAGCATAACACCGCCCGAGGATCACATGGGACCGCCAAGGGTACCAGCTCCCTCAGAAATGCTCGACAACCGCGCCTCGTCGAACATATGACGTGGTGGAGCAGCAGGAACGACGAAGACATCAGAAGAGTGTTGTCTAGCAACCCTCTCTCCTAAGTACGCGATCGCTCCATAAGTCCCCAGAAAATAGCGACGCTCAGTAGAATACTGTGCGGCTAACCCAGGGACTGTCCAACTGCCCCACGGCCGGTATACCACCTCAGGTCCCTATAAAGAGCATCAATCAGACAAGAATATATCTAAGCACCGCGAAAAATGCAAAATAAATAATAAAAGTCGTACCGCGATGATCCGGTTCCGGACATGTGTAGTAGACATGTCCATATGGTGGCCGCCCCAAGAGGCGCTCACTAGAAATCCCCGCGGCGATAGTCTCGCCGGCGCAGCAGAAGGAAAGTACTCGTAGAACCAAATCTACAAGGAGTTAGAAGTGTGAGTAAATACTAACTAATACGCAGAGCTAAACTTTATAGGGAATAAATGTTTACCTCTACGACCTTCCAAAAGGCAGACAAAGCAACGTTCGTCCCAAAGGACCGGTGTCGACACGAGTCCCTCAGCGCACGAACGAAGTCAGCATAGGCCAAGCTGGCCCAGTCATAAGTCCCGATCCGGTGAAGATCACGGACAGCAGGAAGACAGTAAAGCAACTCTCTACTACCTTTGTCAGGGGAGAATGTCCCTGACAACAACATCAGCACAAAGATGTGCACCCACTGCTCTCGGGTGGTCGCATCGTCATCAAGAGCCGCTGCCAGCGTCGAGCGGTGAATTCCTCTAGCACTAAACTGAGTCGTCTGGACCTCAGCTCGGGCCCGAATAGCGATCGGCCCCAACAGCTCCTCGACCTCCGAAGAGAAGACGTCGATTCCACTGTCAAACGGCAGTGGCACAGAAGTGAACTCCAGTCCTGTGATGAGACTGAAGTCCTTAGGGGTGACCATCATCTCGCCCCAGGGGAAATGGAAGGTGTTGGTGGTGTCGCAGAAGAACTCCACCAAAGCGCGCACTACGTGATGACTCCCGCTAGAGGCGACCATAGCCTCAGAGGTCTCGAACAGAGTAGCTAGCCCGCAAGACTCCCATAGGACTCTCGTCTCAAGATCCCTGGCGATGTGCATCCTGTACAAATCGCCCTGTGTCACCCTCTCAGAAATGTGGTGGACAGGGGCGAAGAACAAGGTCCGCTCATCCCACTCCGGAAGTTGACCAAGCGAAGTGGAAGGTGTGATGTCATCCTCTACGGGCTCATGATCCCGCCTAGTGTTTTGGGACCGTGAACCCGAGCCTCGTTGTCTAGCCATGCTACATTGTGTAAAATTATCATGAATTAAGGTTCTATAGTATCTAAGGTTCGCCTAACTGCATGATACTATGTTCGCAAAAACAGAGTACGTAGTACTAAAACATAGCATAAATTCAAATTGAGCATGGCAGCATTTTTCAAGCAATCAAATAATTTCTTGCAACACTATAGTGATTATTGTGACAAATTGAACAAGAATTGCTAGCAAAAACATCAAGAACAAGTCACATTGTTCTTCACGACCTTAAGAGGTCCAACAATGGCAAATTGCTCATTTCTTCACCAAATTGAGTCAAACAAGTCTGAAATTACTCCCAAAGCAATATACAAATATAATCAAGCAATTTCATGGCATAAAACTTGACAAAGAAAGCAAATTGAGCATTATAAGTTTCGAATTTTCATGAAATTCGTGAATAAACATGCCAAGAATTCATAAAAATTGATGTGAGTTTGAAGAAAACTTACATAGATCAGGAAATAGATGAAAAGAGCTTTGATTTGCAACAAATTTGAGCAAATTCGCACTACAACAAATTAACCTTTGTGCCACGGGAAAAATCGTGGCACAAGTTTGAAATTACCGTGGCTATGAAGTGTAGCCACGGGAATTCCAAAATTTACTCCCGAGGCACAAGAGGCCGTGGCAAGAAATTTTCCACGGGAAAAAGGATGTCGAGGAAAATTTTGAATTTTATGCCATGGGTATTCACGTGGCAAAGAAATTCTGTTGCCACGAATACTAACGAGGCTAACAACTACTTTGCTACAAATTATACTGTGGCTAATATACTTAGTAGCCACAAATATTACCGTTGCTAATATGGTTGTTTGCCACAAATACTACCGTGGCATATAATATCCACTACCACAAATACTATCGTGGCTAAAGTTGTTTGTCACGAATTTTTACCATGTCTACCAAATTTACTATCAATGATCTTTGTCGTTGGTTCGTGGCTTGAAAATTTAAAATGACATTTTTTTTCATTCAAATAAAGCACATTTGGTTTTTTCAGACCAAGATAAAAAGAGTAATGTGGCCTTCTAATCCTTCTACCATAGAAAAATAAAAATATTACATTATATGTAATTTGATAAATGTAGTATATCTTGTGCTTCGCAGTCTTCTTTTTACCTACAAGAATGAAAAACAAAAAGAATTAGCTGTAAATTTTTTTTTTATTTTTTTTAACAAGGAAAGGAAACTATACTACTACTAGATGATTATAGCATCTAGGAAAATCAATGTTTGTAATCAAATAGGGCCTCCATAATTGCTGAAAAATTAAAAAATTGCAAAACATGGAAGCTGCTACTACCGCAAGCAATAAAAATAAAACAGCAACAGTAATTTAAACTAAAAGCATAAGGCATAAAGGTAGATAGTAGTAGGGGAGCCCAGCCATGGCTCAAGAGAAGCTGCAGACATCAGATTTTTCACCATTAATCATGGCGAGAGAGTGAGCAAGTTCCTTGGTGTAGGCTGCAGTCAAGGTAGGAGGAAAGAAGAAGTGGAAAACTAAATTGTCATGTTGTGAGCTTCTATCTATGTCAGCCAATCCATGGGCAATTTCGTTTTTCGTCCTCTTTACATGAAGCACTGTAACCTGCCAATTTCTTTGAAGCAGTTCAGCAACATCTCTGATGATGTTGGCAAGAAGGTGATCAGTTTACAGCTCCAAAAACCTGATTCCCCTCTCCCAGGCAGCATTCAATCCTTCTAGTGGCTGGCCCTAGGGAGCTATAAAAATTATTTAAAATCCTAATAAACTATAAATTATATACAGTAAAACCAACACATACTTGGAAGACTACCTAAATAGTGAGGAATTTTTCCACTGAACTGACTCATAGACAGATTCAGAGTCTAAATATTAGTGTAGGAATTAGCAAACATGGCTTTGGAAAAAAAGAATAATATATTATAGAAGGCTACCAAGTATAAAAACAATACATTCATTTTGGAATGGACAAATAAGGCATGTGATATTACAAGATTAATACAACATGAGTAAATTGACAGGAAGAGCTCCTTGCAGGCCAGACAACGACAACAGGAGTTGCTCGATATGGAATTATTTTCTCCACATGCTAGAGTAAATTATTTTGTTTACCTAACTCTTTTATCTCTAGAAAACTAAGTTGTTCTTTTGGTCAATCAAGGATATATAATCAGTCCTAGGAGATTTTTGCTAGTGTTTAGCACATGAAGAAGGGTATCATATGAAGTTACTAAAAAGTCAGATCATAAGGAATAAATTGATCAAGGCTACACAATTGATTATTGTCTAAGTAAATTAAAGCAAGAAAACTCTCAAATAAAAGTAAAACAAAAAGCTATAGTTGACCGAATATGAATTCAGAGAGAGAAATGGTAATTCAGAAAGATCGAGATGTACTTACTTCACTTTTGATGCACCTTCACTTCCCGAATCATCATTATTCAAAGAACCTCCTGCTTCAAGAAAATCCAAAAGTTGACTAAATTTTTTCTCCCAAACTTCATTGTTCTCTGCAATTTTTTTGTCTACATCATTCCTAATAGCTTCCGCTTCTTTTTTGGCTTGTTCAGCTTCTATTCTAGCATTTTCAGCATCTTTTTTTGCTTCTTCAATTGCTTGATTTGCTTTCTTTTTAACTTCATTCACCTCTTCAGAAAGATCTAATCAAGAAGGCTTTACTTTGAAATGTTGTGTAATACTTCTACCAGGTCCATAAGCTTTCAAGTACCCGTATGTATCTTTGCCAAGCACATCTTGAATGATTTGCTCATCCGTTTTCTCATTGAGACCTTGATCCCTTTGCTCCTTTAGTTTGTTTATCTCATCCTATTATTAACAAAATTGCTAAGTTAGAATCTAAGATAGAGAATGTTATATGAAAATAATAATAAACAATCATAACTTACTACTGCACGGGTGTTATTTTCTAAAGTTATTACATTCACAGCCTTCTCAGACTTTCTCGTACGAGATGCAAGTAGTAGATCAACACGAGAACACTTCCCACCATTCTTCTTCCTCTACATCACAGAGATTTTAAAGTCAGATTATACTCATTATTACTAGTACTCTATCATGTATCAATTACAAGTAATGCATTTAATTACGTACAATTTCTTGTCTAGCGCGACCGAAGCTTTTAGTACCATTGTAGTGAGGCATCTTTTGATGAGCCCTACTTTCACTTGCTTTTTTACTCTTCTCCTGTTCTCAAAAGAATTTAAATATTTACACATGTAATTTATGTATGTGTGTGTGTGTGTGTGTGTGAGTGTGTGTGTGTGTGTGTGTGTGTGTGTGTGTGTGTGTGTGTATAGTATATCAGTATATTACCAAAACTGTATCATTACTCCAATAGTCGACCAAGAACTTCCATTCAACTTTAGTCATGTGACTTGGCTTATTTTTGAGACGTTCTTCTTTTGTTGTCAGCTTACTAAAGTACTTTCTTTTCAATTTGCTCCTTGCAAATCTAAACAATCGCTGTGCATGTTTCATGACACACTCTCTCCTTTGTTCAGGATCATCAAATGACCACTTCTCCTGAAAAATAAAAAAATAAGTTCATTAATACCTCTAACGCTTAACTATATATATTACATTTATTGATCTTCTACATATATGTGATTTGAAGGATGCTCATGCTAATGATAAATGATGTTAATTAGACATGATAGTAATAGCACGAAGTAATAGGAATTAGAACAAATGGTATGTGTGTAATCTGCTCAGAGTATTCAAAAATCATCTATTTAGGCTCTATGAGCTCACAAAGAGAATTTGGAGGGCTTCAGCTTTACATTTTGATAGCACACCATCATTTAATTGAGATTGTCAAAAGTCATCAGTTTTTTTAGTTCTGTAAGTGGGTCAGAATGCAAGAAATGATGTGTATTATGATACAATATTACCTGGATGCACAAATGATCTAATATTTCAGATGTATACTCATTCCAACCCTTGACTTGTATTGGACAAACAGATTTATTACGAACTTGTTGACCCAAGAAGAAAGAAAATAACGAGGCATTGTCACCAATAACAACACCATCCTCATCAAACTCCACATTTAGTTTTTCACCCGGAGGTAGTAGGGTAAGCTTCCTGCAATATACTGTCCCTCTTTTTTTCACAATTGTACCTAGATCATGCATAAGCTTAGTAGGTATAGAATTGTCATGACTAAAACCAAATTAAGCATGTTATATATGTTTGAAGGGATAATTCATACTTGCTGAAATGTTTAATTCCTCCTCCTCTGTTATATTCATGAGTTCGTTGTTAATGAGTGGTTCACTATCTGAAGATGCATTTTCACGTTCAAGATATTGACCAATTTGTCCATCCTCATCATAATATTGAGTTGTGTTGTTATTATCATCCCTTGTCTCTCCTTCTTCATTTTCTGTTTACATGTATAAGGAAAAAAACAAGTAAAATAGATTTGAATCACTGTATATGCATAAAGTAGTGAATATGCAATGGACCCAAGTGGCCCAAGCTAACTAACACTATAATATTCAGACTAACACTAGAAGGAACAAGATCCAACAAGGCAACAACAACCAATGAAGGCTACAACAACCAATAAAGAGAAGTGAAGCACCACAAGTAGTAAGACAGACAATCTGTGATGTTTAATCTTTTCCTAATAAAAGACAAATAGTGGAACAGGAGTGCAGGGAGGTGTGTGAAGGAAAGAGTGGTGCAGGTGTGTAAACAGGTGTGTGTAGGTAGGATTGGGGCAAGTGTGTAGGGAGGTGTGTGCAGGCAAGAGTGGGGAATGTGTGTGGAATATGTGTGTAGGGAGGTTTGTGCATGAAAGAGTGGGGCAGATATGCATGGAGGTGTGTGCAGGTAGGATTGGGGCAAGAGTGCAGGGAGATGTGTGCATGCAAGAGTGGGGAATGTTTGTGGAATATGTGTGCAGAGAGGTTTGAGAGGTGTGTGCAGGCAGTAGGGGGGTAAGTGTGTGCAGGGAGGTATGTACAGGCAGGAGGGGGGCAGGTGTGTGTAGGCAATTAGTGGGCAGGTGTGTGTAGGCAGGATGGGGGCAGGTGTGTGTCAGCAATTAGTGGGCAGGTGTGTGTAGGCAGGAGGGGGCAGGTGTGTGCAGGTGTATGCAGGCAGGAGGATCTGCTCGGATTAGGGACAATGATCTCTCGGTGGAAAATAGGAGTGCATATTAGACTTCGAATATAGATTCATATATTGAAATTTTATATTGAACAAATGCTCCAAATTCTATCACTAAGATAAGTACAATGAAGTTTTCCAGATTCAGATTTCAGTACAAATGTAGAAAGCTTATTTGCCAAACGATCAAATCCTATATTTATACAATACAATATCTACCATCCTTTATTTGCTTCACAGCTCACACATTAAATATTTCCATAACCATGATAAAAATTTTCACATGATACTTTTATACATCTTTAAGAAATTCTAGATAAACTTGCAGCACTAACAATATCAATGACAATAGAAACAACTAAATTCAAGAATCAAGTAGAGTAGAGACACCTTTTTGTTCTTTGTCCATGGCAATTTCTTCTTGTGCTTTTTTGTTCATCTTTTGCAACTTTGCCAATGACTTTGGTGGAATGAAATTCCCTTTTCTGTTTCCTTCTCTCAAATTTCTTATGTTAGCGTGATACAAATTTATAAAATATCAAAAATTATTATAATTGATGGGAAGCAAATTGAATCATTCTTAGTTGAAATGATACCCTTCTTGTAAATCTGATTTGAGGTTCATTCTCGTGTTCATGAACCTCAAGCTCATCATCATTGGGAATATAATCATCATCGCCCCTGCCAGCACTGCTTTTTTCTTTTCTTTTCTTCTTTTTTGTACTTTCAACCAAACTCGTCATAGAGGAAGCAATTCGTTTTACGCCCAACAACTCCAATCTTTGTTTGTTGGCTGCAATTGTTAGAAGCCTCTTTCTTTCATACTCATTCATCTGCTTTTACATTGATCATAAAATTTACAGTTACAAAACAAACACGAGTTGCAGAATTATATTGCACATTAATTGCCTTATAAAACCTAATGCATGGGTGAACCTCCTAGCTACTATACATGTCATGTCAGATACTTTGTTAGTCTAATAAGGCCTATTATCAATAATTATTCACAATAATAAAGGCATTTCACATAAAAATATTCTACAAAAAACCATTAAGCACAAATATAAAGTGTAAGAAAAAAGCAAACGTAATTAAAGAAATAGTTCAAAACGCCTAAGATATAAGTATGAATACAAGCAATTCATAACTTAAAAAAAAACACAAAAAATTTGAGTCAAGCAAGATCAATATCATCATCATTATCACTCTCTTGGTCACTCTCACTATCATCCTCATCATCTTCTAGTAAATCGTCATCATCAAACTGTTCATTTTCTTCAGAACTGAAATCTTTGGGTTGATTTTCCTCAGTGGCATCTATGACGATTTCACCAACATCATCTCTTATTTCAACAGGTGGATCATGAGTCTCCTCTAAATTAGTTGTGCTTAAGACATGAGGGCCTTCAGCGATCATTGGTTGTAGTTGTTGTAATGCATCCTCATCACTTTCAATCACTTCCTTTTCTGGAACATTATAATGATGCCTTGGATGGGTCTTCACAATAACAAGCCAATCAGGATCAAGTCCATCACTAACATAGAATACTTGTTGAGCTTGAGACATGAGCACAAAGGGTTCTTTGGTACGCAATGAACAATGACTATTGACACTCACATTGCCATGCTTGTCAACCTTAACACCTCTTCCAACTTTATGAACATCCCACCAATCACAACAAACAACACCACACGTTTTCCATCCAAATATTGTATCTCAAGTATCTCAGTGAGGATCCCATAGTAATCTTTTTCTGAATTCCCAACAATGCCCTTGACCATAACTCCACTATTTTGGTGTACCCTTTTCATTTCAATATCCCTTGTGTGAAATCTAAACCCATTTGCAAGAATTCCATTTAAACACAAAACACCTTGCAAAGGACCTAAAGCCAAAGTTTTCAAATCTTTTACGACTTGATCATTGCCTTAATTAGGCAGATTCATAACCTATAAATAAAAAATAAATAACATTAAAAAAATGAGACTAACACGAACTGATAATATAAAAAATAATAAAGCTACTTTTAATTATATAAAATACCCGATCACGAAACCAATCCACTAAATTTTTGTTAGATGTGCTCTCTTCATATTCGCTGAAAATCAAATGAAAAATATATCATACGATAGTCGTATCAAAAAATATATTTAGTAGTTTTTTAAAAATAAAAGTAATATATCATACTCTAAATAAGCTTGTGCTTCATCACAATTCTTAAGTATATATTCTCGTACTTGAGCTAACTCTTCCTCATTGAGAGACCTACTTTTAGCCTTCCCCAAAGGAATACCCGATGATGCGAAGATTGATATACCTTCGTAGTCATTATTTCCCGCATCATCATTCCTCTCGGGTTGATTAAATTTGGTCTCAATTTCATGCAAGTACTTTGAACAAAAGTACATGCACTCCTCAATGATGTAACCTTCCGTGATGAAACCCTCCGGCCTACTCTTATTTCGAACATAACATTTAAATCTACGTAGGAGCCTACAAAATAATAAAAAATTTGAAAACATGTTGAAATAGTTAAATTAAGAAACTAAACAAAAAATATTCATATACTAAGGAATACCTTTCTATTGGATACATCCAATGATATTGTACCGGTCCACCAATTTTTGCTTCAGTAGCTAGGTGGACACACAAGTGGACCATGATAGTGAAAAATGATGGAAGAAAAATCTTCTCCATTTCACAAAAAGTAAGCACAATTTCACATTCAAGATTTTCTAAATCTTTCACTTTTAATGTTTTAGAGCACAGGTCCTTGAAAAATGTACTCAATTTCACTATCACATCGTACACTTTGGGTAAGGATACCCCACGAATTGCAAGTGGCAATAATTGTTCCATAAGCACATGGCAATCATGAGTTTTAAGACCATATATTTTACGCTTGTCAAGGTTTATGCATTTTGAAATGTTAGAAGAATATCCATCAGGAACCTTCAAAGTCTCTAAAAACTTACACACCTTTTCTTTTTGTGCCTTAGACAAGGTGTAAAGTGCTGGAGGAATATGCCACTTTCCATTTTATAATATTGGAGCAAGATGCTTCATAACCTTCAAATGCTTTAGATCATGTCTAGCCTTTAAATTATCTTTTGACTTCCCATCAATATCTAGCAAAGTACCGAGAATATTATCAAGTACATTTTTTTCAATATGCATGACATCAAGATTGTGTCGAAGCAAAAGGGTACTCCAATAAGGCAATTCAAAAAAAATACTTTTCTTCTTCCAATTATCATCTCTCTTTGGCAATTTCATTGTTTTTCCTAATTTCATGTCTTCAAGATCTCTAAGTTGCTCTAAAATCTCATTCGAAGATAAATATTTAGGAGGACCTCTTGCTTCTACTTTTCCATTAAAAGATTTGTTATCTCTCCATTATGATCGGTAGGAAGAAACCGGCGATTATCCATGTAACAACATTTTCCCTGATTTGGTAGTCGAGTAGAGCTAGTTTCCTTCATACAATATGGACATGCTTTATAGACTTTGGTAGACTACCCAGATAAGTTAGCGTACGCTGGAAAATCATTTATGGTCCATAATAATGCAGCACGCATTTGAAAGTACGCATCCTTTGAAGCATCATAAGTCTTGGCTCCAGTTTCCCACAATTCTTTTAAGTCCTCAATTAATGGTTGCAAGTATATATCAATGTTATTTCCAGGTCCAATTTTCCCTGGAATTAACAAAGATAGTATTGTGTAAGGTTGTTTCATACACATCCATGGAGGAAGATTGTACACAACAAGCACTACTGGCCATATACTATAGTCACTTCTAAGCCCGCTAAATGGATTGAATCCATCACTTGCTAAACCCAGCCTTACATTACGTATCTCTGCAGAAAAAGAAGGATGTTCTTTATCAAAATGCTTCCAAGCTTGACAATCTGCCGGGTGTTTAAGGACTCCATCATCTTCGCGTTTATCAGAATGCCATCTCATCTCACTTGATGTTTTAGATGACATAAACAACCTTTGCAACCTTGGAATTAGTGGGAAATAGCGTAGTACTTTTGGAGAAGCTCTATTGCGCTTAGTATCACATATGGAACACTTTTCAAGGTTAGCATTTTCTTTCCAAAATAACATACAATCATTTTCACATGATTCTATTTTTTTATAGTCGAAACCAGGATCAGTAATCGTCTTACGTGCTTCATAATAATTTGAAGGCAAATCAGCACCTTCAGGCAAAGCATTCTTGAACAGTTGAAGCATATTAGTAAAAGCTTTGTTAGTCATGCCATCCATACATTTGATTTGGAATAGCTTTAGAATGAATGACAATTTGGAGAATTTGTCACAACCAGGGTACAAAGTTTGTTGAGCATCTCTAATCAAATTTTCAAACATGTTTGCCTCATTTGTATGCTTAGTAAATCTAGGAAAATCAAACTCAGAACCCTGTTGCTCTTCATCCCACATGTCATCTATCTCATCATTTGAGACTCCAGGACTAAACCTATCATGGATCATCCTAAATATATCATCATTAGCACTTTCTTCCAATTCATTTCTACTTTTTTTTTTGTGGCGGCTTGTATTCTCCATGATAAATCCAACGAACATACCCTTGCACAATTCCATTCACCAACAAGTCACTGTATATTTCGTCCCTTGTTTTATGTTGAACATTATTGCAATGATTACAAGGGCAAGGTACCTTCTTATCATCCTCTCCTATATCACTATTTGATGCTAAGTCACGAAAAGCAAACTCAAGAAATGAATTAACCCCTTTTATGTATAAGTTGTCTGTCCTATTAGCACACCTCATCCACTCTAACCTCTCTTGAACATCCAACGTATCCATGTGTAAAGAAAGGCTATGAATACATAAAAAGTTAAAAAAAAAAAAAAAAAAAAAAAAAAAAAAAAAAAAAAAACAAATGAATGAATGAATTAAGTTGCTCCTAACTTGAAAGAACAAGATAGAAAAATTTTCATCTTCATGAACTTTAAGCAAATACTCAACATTACTTCTTTGATTGTAATAATCAACATGTTACTTTTGTAAAATACCATTAGACATTTATACATAAACTGAATTTTCACAACTAACTTCCAATTCAGCACATTATCACATATACAAACAGTTGACCCCTCCTTGAGTGCACACCTTCCCCCCTGGCTACAAACCTGCCCCCTCCCTTAACTTGTTACACCTGCTTACACAACTCTCCCTTGCTTGCACATTGAACTCATCCCCTATTTGTACACTAAACTCATCCCGTCTCTGCCTGCCTGCACACACTAATCCCATCTATTCCCGTCCCCCTCCCCTTGTTGCACACCTTCCTTCCCCCTGCGTACACAACTCTGCCTTTCTTGTACACTAAAATCATCCCTTACCTGCCTGCCCCCTTCCCTACACACTGAACTCACCCCGCCCCCTTCTCGCACACACTAATCCCCTCTCTTTCTGCCCCATTCCCTAGCTGCACATTTACCTTATCCCAGCCTACACACCCCAACATTAATTTTCATTGTAGTTTCATGGTCAATTTTGTTAATTAGCTTTGTATTATTCTTATTTGTTTCAAAAATTGGTATTAGTGAGCTTATGTCAGTTCATGTTGCAATAAATTTGTAGTTAGAGGCTTAGAGCTAGTATTATCTAGTAGTAGTTTTAGATTAAGCTTATGTTCTAATTTTATAGGGTTTTTTGATAAATAGCTTTTCTTATCTAAGTGGACATGACATTATTTAAATCATCATTTACTTTTGTTTTTTTGGACTATTAGTGTTAAATGAAAACAGATACAAAGTTAGGCTTATGCAACACATATTAGCATTTTTAACCAATGTGGTTTAACTGTTTAAGCCTTTAAAGACAAGTTGATTCTAAGATATTGGGTATATAGGCAATGTTAACACCAAACATGAATGACAAATCGACACAAGGTCAATGCAATAGGCAATGTTTGGTCATGCAGATTTATTGAGATTCATGCTAGATGTTAATACATATAATCAGATTAAGCCCATGACCCACCCACTTGGATTGGTTAAGCCTAGTAGCCAAGGGGCTTAGATTAAGTATCCTATAAATGAACATCAAACATATAGAAGAGCAGAACAATCGGCTGCAAGTATCTTCCTACAACTGAACAACAGGGACCTTAAAGACCATGAAGCTAATCAAAATAAGTAGATAACCAACAACAATCACAGCATATCATCAAAGAAACTACTTTTTAAAAATAAATCAAATTAATTAAATGAAAACAAGAAACCTGCCAGAAGAAATTATTAGAATTAAACAACAAAAATCAGTTGAGCCACACCAAATTGAAGCAAAAATTGGAAAAAAAAAAAACATCAAAATTTGAGAACAATTCGATTCAAGCATAGCAACTAGATTCCGTTGTAATTCAATTGCTACCACATAAGTATTGGAAACAATAAATTAAATTCAACATTGATTCACGCATAAATAAACTACATATAAGAAAAACGAACAATAAATAGATCTAACCTTGAAATTTTGACCAAGAATTAATCTTGCGCGTTAGTCGAATCTTCGATCTAGGTATCGTTTGAACGGTTTTGGTTCTCCAACAAAAAAGATTTTTGGTTTTTTTTTTTTTTTTATAAGGGAAGGTTTCTGAGTTTTAAGGCATATTTTGGGGTTTTGCTAAAATTTTTAATAAGTTGGCGGCTAATGAAAGGGAATTAAGCGCCTAATCAAGTTTGGGATTTGTGATGATGTTTTTGTTTTTGTTAATTAACTGCCTAATCAGCAAATCAGTAGTTTTTTTTTTAATTTTATTTTATTTTATTTTATTTGAGGAAGGAAAGATGATCTTACACAACTAATTGTTAGCTTATAATGTAACATGTATAAATTATCATACAAACTAAGGCATGTGATACTTTATAAAACGTATCAATATAGTATAATGAGCATATGTCCTTTATAATCTATATTTTATAAATATAATTTATGATAACTCTAATGTTAATAATTTTTATTTCATAATACATATCACATGATTAAAACTAATTATTCATGAACATAATAATTATTTCATAATATATTGACATTAGTTTAAGTTTTTTTTTCTTTTCCTTAAATGAATGTTCACATTCCTTAAATGAATTTGGGTTAATTTATGTATGTCCTAAAAATATACTACCTCTGTTTCACATTTTTTTGCAATTTTGAAGGGTGTACGGATTCATAGGCAAAATTTGTTTGTGAGTGTAAGATAGAGAGAGTAAAATAGGAATGCATGTGATGAAGAGAGAGATAGAGAGAAATGACAACCTAAAAAGGGACACTAAAATATTAGTTGCAAATAATGTGTAGCATCCATTATTGGAAAAAGTTGCAAAAAATATGAAACGGAGGTAGTATTTTGATGTGGTAAAAGTGTTAATTTGTTGTAGTGTCACCTGAGACAAGGAGATCTGGTATGATGTTAATAAGGTCTAATATGATCTGATCTAAATTTCTATTATCTGGTCGTCTGATTTGATTTAATAATTTGAGTAAATTTTGACCACATTTTAGTATTAAGATATAATTAAACAAAAATATATATTATCAAAATATATTTGTTAGATTCGTCTTATTATGAACTTTTCAAAATTGGATTTTCAAATACATGAAAAACTGTAAAAAAAAAAAAAAAAAAAAAAAAAAAAAAAAAAAAAAAAAAACTGATAAACTAAAACACATCAAACACAGCATAATTAGAAAATAAACCTATTCAAAGTAACCTGACACTGGTTAGCTATATGCATGATGAGAGAGATTGACTTCCGCTCTTTCAACATTGAATATGATGCAATGCTGAAAAGTGCTTCTGATTTTAACAATCTCCTTCCAAATTCAAAAAAAAGGTGAATATCCAAGGGTCCCTTGCTTTTAAGAGAAGTGACAAGTGAGGCAGAGTCAGTTAAGATCTTAATTAATTGACCTATAACCATTTTCACAAGCCTATCTTAATGCATAAAGACAAGCTCATGTAAGGGTTTTCAATTCAAATCGAACCATCTCGAATTAAAACTAGCTAAAATTAGAATATTTAATGAGGTTATTACATCAGTATATTCTTTTACCTATTTACCCAAGGCTTAAGTTACGTGTTACTTTAAGAAAGAGTTAGAGGTTAACTAAATAAAAAAATTGAGTTCTTTAATCCAAATACCATCTTAATAAGCCAATATAAAGCTGACAAACAACATTATTAGAGTAATATTAGCTTATTGTTAAAACATTATTAGAGTAATATTAGCTCATCGTTAACCCGATTCCAATTATTTTTATAAAGCCAAACTCATATAAGGGTATTCAATTCGAGCTGAACTATCTCAAATTAAAACTTGATACTATTAAAGAAAACCTAGTCATGCTATATGTAATAATTTAGTCTTTGGTCTAGCTAGCTTACTTTATATGTAGTTTTTCAATAATACTCAATTACATCATTTATATTTTATAAGGATACACAACTAGTAATAAATTTATATAACTTTAATGAAATTTTTCATCATATGCTTATCTTATCAGTGTAATGCAAATGTGCAACTATGCTCATATCTACTACTCACTTATACCATATTAAATTTATATGTATATTTATAAATTAATGAATTTAGAATTATTCTTGCATAGTGACGGAGTGCTATGTAATATGTAATTGTTTCACACTATCAAAAAAAAAAAAAAAAAAAAAAAAAAAAAAAAAAAAAAAAAAAGAGAGAGAAAATCAAATACAATTTTATATATAAAGTGTTTTTTTTCTATTAAGTTATATAGAGTGGTTAAAAAAAATCTATATTTCAATTTTGCTAATATACAAATGAATTTTAGGCGGAAAAATTACCTCCATAATCAATAAAACACTTGACCTGGTTAAAATGATGGAAATTCTTCCCTCTAAAAGCATTATTTGGCGGAAAAACTTCCTCCGAAATACATGTAATTTATGAGTTAAAAAAAAAAGAAAAGAAAAATGAAGTAAAGCATAGCTACTTCTCCAACGTTCTTCGGTTCTTCCCATCATTCTCTATTCTCTAACGACCATCTCCTAAAGTGATAGGTAATTTCCTTCTCTCCGAAATCTGAAATTTAATATTTCTCTAAAATTAGTTTCGTCAAATCAATTTGGGGCTTCTTTTTTTGTTTTTTTTTTTTGATATTATTGATATCAATTTGGGGTTTCCTTAATTCCATGGGTTGTGAAATTTGTATAATCTATCACCATCTCCCATAGATCAAGTCAAAGACGAATCCACGAAAGAATTGCAAAACTTGAGCTCCAACTCTCTTCCTTTACTTCTTCCGATCGCCGCCACTGACGCCACCCCATAGCGTCTTTCCGGTGATCTGAGAGGTGCAAAAATGGCGATATGTTTGGTGGCTTCAATTGCAAAGTGGTAAGTGGTTTGCTAATTAGTTAATTCGATTTATATCCTAATCCTATTGATAGGTTTTTTTTTTTTTTTTTTTTTTTTTTTTTTTTTTTTTTTTTTTTTGCAATGGGTGATTTAGTTGTATTTTTATTTCGGTTGAATTCAATTAAATTTAATTGTGCTATTATGTACGAGTAATTGATGCCCAATTGAAGTTTAAAATGGAAATTAAAATTGAAATGGAGGCTGAACTAAAATATATATATATAGAGTGGTTTGGTACTGGAGTCTAATTTGAGTATTGTGTTATTGGGGGGTTCGTTTTATCAAGATTTTATGATGATTTGTTGTTAATGATCAAAGTGATACTCTCAGCAAATTCCTTGTCTTTGGTAATTTATCTTCTGTTTGCATTCTCTTACTTGCCTAAATCAGCAAGGTGGCTTGTCAGCAAGGGCCAAGGGAAGGAGGATATCTGAAGCCAAGAAGGAATTAATGAGGTTACGAGGAAATAACGATGTCACAGGTGAATCTCTTCCTTAAATTTTTGTTTTATAGTATATGGCTTACCGTAGTTTTGTGACTTTTGTCCTTGTTTTTGGATTCAAGTAGTGTCTAAAGAATCTAGCTGTAACATTCAAGAAGACCAGCAAGTTACTTATATTATTTGTCAAATGTGGGCATTTTTATGAATCCAGCAGTCAGATATGCATGCATACTAAGTACTGATTAAGTGGTATTAATGTATTATGCTTTCCCGAAGTCTTAGCTCAAAGTTTGAATATGATTTTGGAGTTGAAACTGTAACATGATGTTTGCTTAGTATTAAATGTGAAGACTTAAGTTAATGAATGTGCGTTACTTGTAGACTCAAATAATATTTCAATTCATCCATAGTGATTTAGCTTGAATTGACTCTTTGTAACCAATCAATTCGAGCACGAAAACAAGCAATAAACTGTACTTTATTAAAGTACTTTTACTTGTAGTATATATAAAGAAGGAATTTTGACTTGAAATATTTGCTGCAGATGTCAAGGTAGTCTGGTGCCAGGAAGAGGCAATGAACATGGGCGCTTACAGCTATATTGTACCTCGTCTATGTCCAGCAATGAAATAATTAGACAGGAAGTGCTGATGACATTGAGTATGTTGGGTACCTTCCATCTGCTGTAACTGCTACTGGTTTTATCTTAGTTCATAGAAAAAGACACACTGAGCTTTTGCAGTTAGCATTGCAGCCAGAGCCAGTCCCATTCCCATGAGCCAGTGGGCTGGTGCACGCTTAACACTGATGGAGCAGCAAAGGGCCCTCTTGGGCTAGCTGAGGGAAGGGAAATTATCAGATATGAGACAAGTTAATTTCGAGGTGTTCTGCTACTGTTGTTTGTCGCCACTGCTGGCGGCTCCTTCTGCTTCCCGCCACTGCTGGCTGCTACTATTGGCTGCCACTGTTGTCTGCTACTACTGACTGTTGTTTGCTGCTACATGCTGCTGTCTGCTACTCTGCTAGTAGTTGTTGTTAGTGTTGTTGTCTGCTAGTAGTTGCTGACTTGTTGTAAGTGCTGCTTGATAGCTGCTGTTATTATTGTTGTTTACTGATTCTGTGGTGATTTTTTTTAGAATTGAGGTTTTTCTTGTTTCCTCACTTTTTACAAGCTAGAGACCTACGCAGTAAGTTTTTTCTTTTTCTTTTGACTATTATATTGTTTGGTCAAACATAAAAATTGGTGTATGGATGTTTTTTTTGTATGAGTTATGAAATTATTTCAATTCAATTTATTGTTTAGTATCATATACGTGTAATTCCTCACTCATGGTTGTACATATTTTTATTTTTTATTTTTTGAAACAAGCAAGCGGGAATTTATTAACTTAAATCAAGTTCCGCCAAAGTGAATAAACATTGGGGAAAGTTCAACATACATATGCTCCAATGAGATCGAAGTATCCCATCTAGCTAAACAATGTGTAACTACATTCCCACCCCGCTTCACATGAACACAGTTAAATGACATAAAAGAAGGTTTACTATGAATAATTTCATCATATAAGAGATAGACAGGAGAAGCCCCCTTCAATTCATTGTTGATAGCCGATACAACATTGCTAGCATGCATCACATTCGAGTATGACATCCTCAAAACCAAACCTGCTCGTCAATTGCACACCATGCATATGCTGCAGCCCCTGCTTCAGCAAGCTCAACAGACCACCGCACCCCTTAATTATTAAGGATTATCGGCTTAGTGCAATTTTACATTAGTTCATATTAGAATAGTATCTTTTATGTATATGTTATACTATCTGCATTATAAACTAAACTTGAAAAAAAAAAGAAAAAACCCAAAATTAATGATTAAAATATTGTAAAAAAAAACCTTGTATTTGTGGGCTATTTTACACTAAGGTCTTTTTTATTTTGGAAATAATTAATAATTATGAGAGATAATAATTTTAAAATGAAATTATTGAATTTTATTTGCGTAAATGTCATACGATTATAGATTTATAATGGTGCATAATCAAGTTTCATCAATTTTACATATAAGAGTTTGTAAATAAATCTTTTTACACAGTCGTTAATATCTCATGGTTAAAACTAATTAAATAATTGATAACATTAGTCTTAGTTTATTTTCCTTACAAATATATAATTCGTTTGTAATAACATATTGCCACGGAAATAAATTTTAATGTGGCACAAGTGTTAGAATGATTGTCACAGTCAAAATAAATAAATACCCGTGACACAAGTGTTTGTTTGCAACGAGAAAATTATTTGTTGCGGAAACAATGTCCATTTGCCACGGGAATATAATTATGTGTGGCAAAAGTGTTTATTTGCCACGGGGAAAAAAATTTAGCCGTGGCACTAGTTTCAATTAGCCACGAACTCATTTTTCCCGTGGCATAAAATTTGCTGTCATATCAAGTTTATAATTGAACTTATTTTTCCCGTGGCAAGCTCAAATTTTGCCACAAATTTTGTATTCCCGTGGCATAATTCGTGGCACAAGAGTCAATTTGTTGTAGTGTCGGTTGAGAAACGAGCAAGCAATGAGCAATTGAAGCTTTCGGGTTTCTTCGAGCAGTTTTGCGACGAGCAAAGCAGCGAAATGAAGAGGAAAGGGGTATTTAAGGAAATCCCCGTGCTGGCGCCAAGCCCTATGCATTGGCCTCACAAATTTGGCTTGGGCCTGGCGCTAATGCTAATAAGGTGGCGTTGATGGTTTTTCAGCGACGCCAAAGCACCCAGCCACCTGATGAGGTTGTGCTAGCCTTCTGCAACATATTTTTGGATTCCTTGGTACGCCAGTTAGCCCCTCTAAGCAATTTGACATGATTTAATAATCGGCTTGATTACATAAAGTGATCGACCTGATAAGAGATCGTCTCACTTAGCTTAAAGCGCCTAAGCATTGGCTCATTAAAAAAAAGTACCGACATATAGGTTCAAAAGCGCAAAAAGGCACCGACATATAGGTTCAAGAGCAAAAGAGCACCAACGTACAGATTCAAAGCAACGGAAGCGCCAATGTACAGGCATAGCGGGAGCAAAGTTCAGGCGAACTTTAAAAGATCGACAGGCGTGGATCTTCGGTAATTTCCTATAGAAAGTTATCGCATTAAGTGAAGGTGACTTAAAGAGAAGATATCTTCGAAGGCATTCCCTAGCTTGCGGAAAGTTGTCATGAACAACTGGAGGTAATTTCGGGCGAAGTTATCTTCGATGATATTCCCTAGGATGTGGAATATTATCAATGCGGATGGAGATTTTTTCAAGAGAAATAATCTTCGATGGTATTCCCTTGGATGTGGAATATTATCAATGCGGAGGAGGATCGTTTCAGGCGAAGCATTCTTCTAATTTGGAAGCAATTACAGGCGTAGCGGTTTTCAAGCGGGATGACATTCTCTAGCTTGCAGGAGGTCATCAAAACAATCAGTTACTGTAGAAACCCATTTGTGTCTCCCCAAAACCAAACCCAGTGATGAGTACCTTTCACATCGAATCATAATCGAATAAAACGAAAGTGTGGAAAGATCTAGTGTTGCGGATAGTTTTTATTTCTTTTCTCTTCTCTCTGTTATTAAAAACTTATTTTAAGAAAACAGCCAACCCAGTTTGGTTGGTCCATGATATGGGTCCAATAGTAGTGTAGTTGGATGGGGCTTGCAAAGACCTTTCCAAAAATATATTATAAGCCTAATTCCGATGAATATTGAGGAAATTATGGCCAATTTACTAAACTGGGCCCGGTTTGAGCTTTATGTACGGCCCAATGATCTAGGGGAGGGCCTAATATGATTTATCATTCCTAATGCAATTAGGAATGGTTTTAGTCTTCTAGATTCTTCTAGAAGGTTCTTTTCATTCCTAATTCAATTAGCATTGATAAATTGACTTTTGTTGACTTTTTAGAGTTTTAATCAAAACCAAATAGCATTTTCGAGGAAATTATATTATTTTATCCTCCAGTACGGTAAACTTATCGGATTTTCGAAAACGCATTGGAATCAGGCTTGGCGCCTAACCCCAGGCCTTGGCGCCTGGAACCAGGCCTGGCGCTAGCCATTGGCGCCTGGCACTAGTGTTGGTGCCTGGCGCCAGCTAGCCAGGGTTGGCGCCAGCTCTGTTTTCTGAGCGTCAGACTCTGTTTTGTTAAATTATCTTTTTTGGCTGATTTTCTCTATAAATATCGTATTAAAAACTCCGTTTTCATTCACCAATTATCATCATCTACATTCATTCACCAATTCTCCTCATTCGCAAGTTTTCATCAACAATCATTAATTCTTTAGCATTCTCTAAATCATTCATCTCTCTTAAACATTCAATTCTTTCTTACTTTGCTTTTACATACAAAATTCCGCATTCGCAAGATCTAGAAACACCTAGCCATATTCGAAGTTGCCTTCGCCCTAGACGTGAAAGGTTTTAATTTCTGAGGGTTTGGTCCCAAATCTCTCTTTCCATTATTTTTTGATTGTTTGTTTATTATTTTCCTTGAAGTTACTAACGTGTGTATTTTGTTATTAGAAAGAGGTACGAGACCTCAAAGTAAGTACTTTAATTGCTTTATTGATGTTATGATGTAGAAATCATGCTTATATTGTTATTATGATATTCCTAGTATCATGTCTAAGGTAATTTTAATATTTAATATGATTCTTGCGATGCTTCCTATGTTCTTCCTAATATTTATGATTGTTAGTATCATGTTAGGGTTAAAGATTTGATTTTTATTGCTTAGTGACATGCTAGGGTTTGCTATTAATCTTGTTAGTATCATGCCTAGGATCTTGCTATTATTCTTTAACATGAATATTATTATAATTATAATTATTATTCATGATTGATTATTATTATGTTGCTTGATGATTATATTGTTATTGTTTGATCACACCTTTATTGCATGTTTAGAGGGAATTGGTACTTGTAATCATGCTTAATAAGATAATTAATAATCTTGTTAGGTTTAATGTGATTATATTTCAAGTGATCGCCAATAATAGTTTATTTGTGCATTAAATTCAACCAACATAGATAAACAGGTTTAGGGTTAATCCTATTGATTGCATGTTAATCAGAAAGCGCACATGAATACGAGCAGAATAAAGTAGAGGCCTATTATTAGGGCAGGTTCAATCTCTTTTAGGTTGGATTTGTACCTTCATCCCCGAACCCTTATTTGGTTCTAGACCTTATGGAGTTGACGATCTCTTGGATCGTTAAGGGGTGTAACCTTCACCTCGTGAACGGTTTACAAGTTCCTAAAAAAACTTGTTAGCGACTCTTTTGCTCTATCTTCTTCCCTTTTGGACGCCACCGTACTTTAGTGTATGATCACAGTGGGGTTCAAGTTAGTGGGATTTAAAGCTTGAAATTATTTCCTACTTTTTTTGGCGACTCCACAAGGGAAGATTTCTTTTTTAATTCCTGAATTTGTTTCGGCAATGATTTAGAATGAGTGAATGAGACTCGAAAAGTTCTAAGTATTTCATGTGCGTAATTTTGATTAACATTATTGTCATATGCATAAAAAAGATCTCATTGGAAAGACCATCCGTAATGAGTTAAAAACATAGGATTTTACACGTAGG